CACCCTAACTCCCACCCAGCCCTCACCCCCTCTTGCACCCTATCTCCCACCCAGATCCTGCACCTCATCCCTATCCCATTCACTGGCAACCGTGTCCTGCACACTTAACTCCTCATTTTTGGTCCTACCCCAGAGCCTTGGGGGGAAGGGGCAGAAATCCACTAACCCTAGAACCCCAGAAGAGTAAATCTGGCCTGAGGCCTTGAACCTCAGTTTCCCTGCCCCTCCCCCCACCATGGGGCTGAAGCACCAGGGGAATAAGGTGTTTCAGTTGGGGGCCACAGCAGAGAGGGCTGGGGATTTTTGGAGTGGATTGGAGGGGTTTTAGGAGCTTCTCTCAGTTGTATGGTCCCTGACTAATCTTTCTGTGAGTCAGTGGCCCCTGACCTAAAACAGGTTCCCTACTCCTGCCATAAAGACAATGTTGAAATCTTTTGTGTTGGCCTTTATTTAAAAATGAAGCCTTCCCAACAAGCCTCCAACTTGGGTCCAGCCCCTATCTGGCCACAGCATCATAACACTCCCGTAATCCTCCACAAAACCCAACCCTAAGTCCACCATACAGCTCCTGAATGCTCCATGCTGGAGGCATTTGTGACAATGGGCACATTTAAAAGTTCCTGCGGCTTTTCTTACTCAGTACTGGAGTTCAAAGTGCTTGCAAGGGAGCACTCTGTATCATCACCTGGAGGTTAGTAACTCCAAACTACAATACACAGTGTTTACAATGCCCTTATTTCGATGGTGAAGCACTGGAACGGGTTACCTAGGGAGGTGGTGAAAGCTTTATTCCACTAATTCAGGTGAAGTACAGAGGTTCATTTTAAAAGCCTTTTAGGTCAACAGGAAGGACTGGGCAGCCTGGAGACACCCATTGCAAATCTGGCCTACCACTCAATACATCAGTTTCAGAGGGGTAGCCGAGTTAGTCTATAACAGGAAAAACTTAAAAAACAATGAATAGTCTAGGAGCACTTTAATGACTAACAAAACATGTAGATGGTATCCATGAGCTTTCATAGGCACAACCACTTCTTCAGATGACTGGAGTATTAGAAGTCATCTGAAGAAGTGGGCTGTGCCCATGAAAGCTCATGATACCATCTACATGTTTTGTGAGTCTTTAAGTTGCTACTAAACTATTTGTTGTTTTTACTGAATACATCAACCTAGCTTTGTAGTGTAAATCAGCCCTAAGTTCTGACATTTCTAAGTTTCCAGTGATTGACTTAGTCTAAACAGTCTAAATGAGAAGGTCCCTCCCCCCAATGATTTTGAATGTAGTACTTAGCTGACTTCAGGGTAAGATAACATCCAATTCTTTCAGTATTATCCCACTTTCTGCTTGCAAAATTGGTGCGAGAAGCACTTGCTTTACAATTATAAGTGGAAAAAAACTTTTAAATTGAGTGCATGCAAAAATTATTGCATTCGCTGCAATTTCTGTTTGTATTCCAAGTCTAAAGGATAAGAGAAATTTCTTCTCAAAACAGGTATCATTAGAAAACTTGGGAATACAATGGGCATAAAAGGAAGAAATTTATCTGAATAGAACAAGAACCCTAACAGGCTGTAAATTTTAAAAATTAGTTTAAATTCAAACACTATATTCTTATAAGGTGCCACAGGACTTCTCGTTTTATTATATTCTTATTAACACTTAGATGATGCTGATTTTGTTCTATTGTAAAAACAGTCATGAAGAAAAAATAGTATTCAAGAACTTTAAAAGTGGGGGAAACTGCCTGACGTACATGTAAGATAAAAACTCCCAGATATTTGTAGAAATCTTAATGTATGATATAACTGAAGTGCAAAGAGGAGAAATTGTAAGGATGAGAAGTGGGGCACACTATGAAATGTCAGATAGCCAAGAGAAAGAAAAAAAACAATGATTTAAAAAAAACAAAACTACAAATGGGAGGGAAACAATGGCCCAATCCTGCAACAATTTGTCTCCATTTACTTCCACAGGACTACTACACAAACAAACGTTGCCAGGGACTGAGACCACAGTATTCAAAATACTGTTATGAAGTTTTGGGGGGGGGGGAGGTAACTCCTGTTTTACTGCATTTTCAATACAGTTAATTATATTTAATTTTTAAAGAGATCTTTTTTAGTAAATCAGTTAAGAAACTGCAGCCAATGGGAGTTGGGGATGGGAGTTGGGGGCAGTGCCTCTAGATCAGGAGTAGGCAACCTATGTTTTTTGAGCCAGATATGGCTCTTTTGGAGTCCCAGCTTCCCCTGCAGCAGGTAGCCAGCGCCAGCACTACAGCCTCGCAGCCCCCTGAAAGATTGGAATGCCAGCGCCGGCTTCCTGAGTGGAGGGAGTATGGAGTGAGAAAGACCCAAGCCTCCTCACCAGATCCAGCAAGTGGGGAACAAGCAAAGGCAAAAATGGCTCCACCTGCTGCCATTTTACTTTCCCAAGCTGGAGGACAGCCTTGCAGGGAAGCACTTCCTGGAGGCTTCCTTAGAGAATGGAAGCAGCAGGAGGCCATGTTACACAGTGCCTGCAACATAGCACGAAAACAAGTAAATGGCTCCCCCACCACATCATGCCCAGACCCCCACAACCCTACCCCCTCTCGCCCCTCCTCCCCAGACCAGACACCCTGCCCCCAGCCCACTGCTGCACCCTAACTCCCACCCAGCCCTCACCCCCTCTTGCACCCTATCTCCCACCCAGATCCTGCACCTCATCCCTATCCCATTCACTGGCAACCGTGTCCTGCACACTTAACTCCTCATTTTTGGTCCTACCCCAGAGCCTTGGGGGGAAGGGGCAGAAATCCACTAACCCTAGAACCCCAGAAGAGTAAATCTGGCCTGAGGCCTTGAACCTCAGTTTCCCTGCCCCTCCCCCCACCATGGGGCTGAAGCACCAGGGGAATAAGGTGTTTCAGTTGGGGGCCACAGCAGAGAGGGCTGGGGATTTTTGGAGTGGATTGGAGGGGTTTTAGGAGCTTCTCTCAGTTGTATGGTCCCTGACTAATCTTTCTGTGAGTCAGTGGCCCCTGACCTAAAACAGGTTCCCTACTCCTGCCATAAAGACAATGTTGAAATCTTTTGTGTTGGCCTTTATTTAAAAATGAAGCCTTCCCAACAAGCCTCCAACTTGGGTCCAGCCCCTATCTGGCCACAGCATCATAACACTCCCGTAATCCTCCACAAAACCCAACCCTAAGTCCACCATACAGCCAAACCCCCTGCCCTGAGCCCCTCATACACCACAACCCAGACTCCTGCACCAACACATCTCCAGCCCCCTGCCATAAAACTTCTGCACCCCCCCACACCCCAATCTTGTGCCCTGAGTCCATAATACACCCAAACCCCGCCTTGAGCCCCCCTCATACACTCCAACCCAGACTCCCGCACCCCCATATCACCAGCCCCCCGCCAAAAGACTGTCAGAAGACAGCCTGAATGGGCACAGCTATGATGTAAACTTCTAAGAAATATGCAAAAGATGCAGCAGCACAAGTCCCATTAAATAAAGTCTGTGAGTGCTAGGTTTAATTTATGCTACCGTTAATCATTATGTCAATCATCAATAATATTAAGATGTATATTTTCAGTCATGCATTCTTATATGGCTCTTTGTTAACCACTTGTTCTGAATTTTGGTGTAGTTTGGCTCTTTGGTTTGAAAAGGCTGCCAGTCCCTGCTCTAGGTGCAGGCAGCGTGGACCACCCAGAACCACTGGGCCCCATGCTGGCCACTTCCTGGAGCAGTACAGAGCCAGGGCAGGAAAGGAGCCTGCCATAGCTCTGCTGCCCCAACCTGGTTGAAAAGGGACTCTGGTGGCCCCACTCATAAAAAGCCACGAAAAAACCATAAAAAGCTTGGTTGGTCACCTGCAGCAAGGACAGAGCACTGAACTGCCTGACCCCTCTGCCCTGGCATTGGAGGAACATGTCTCTGCCACCCAGGAGCCACCTGAGGTAAGTGCTGTCTAGCCATAGCCCAAATCCTAAACTCCCTCCCACACTCTTACTCCCTGCCCTAAGGCCCCCATCACCAGAGCCCCCACCCCATCCCACACACATATATCTTGACCCGCTCATTTTTGGTCCCACCCTCTGCTTCCATAACCCACTGTGGGGCTGGAGTGGTGAGCACTGATTCACTCCGCTGTGGGGGGAAAGTTCCAAGCCTCCATGTACCTACTTCCCACCACGCAGGGCTGTGTATGGGCCACAATAGGGATGTTAACTATTGTATATTTGTGTAAATGTGTAATTCACTGGAAATTTTAGCAATTACACACTTACACGCGGGTTGGGGGAGAGGCAGGTAAGAGCGAGCCAGTGTTCCTGGGGAGATGGCTTAAAAGGCAGCTCTCCACATGCGCCAGCTCCTGCCTCTCATCCTGCTCTCCTGCCACTGTGGGAGGCAAATGGCTTTGCAGAGCTGGTTTAAAAGCTGGCTCCCCACACGTGCCAACTCATGCCTGCTCCTCCCACACTCTGTGGAAAGCAGTGGAGGGGAGTAGGAGTTGGCTCCCCATCTCCTCCCTTGCTGCCTCTGATACAGAGGCAGCAAAGGGGGGGGGGGAGTGCGTGTAGTCCATAGGATTAGCCAATAAGCCCAAGATTATCAGTTAATCGTGTAATCCACTACATATTGACATTCCTAGCCCATGATCAATTTTTTTTGTGGGTCACTGGCCCATGATAGAAAAAGGGCTCCCCATCCCTGGTTTACAGAGTTGCCATGTATTCCTACAATTCTCAAGACCCTGAATCCAATCTAAAACGTCTTTAAAGATCAGCAGTTCAACTAGATTAGCCAAAGGGGACTGCAAGATACAGCCAATTCACTGTAACTCAGGAAGTGAAAGATTCGAGGTAGGTGCCATGCAGCCATAAACAACCAGTGACCACCACACAGATAATAATTCCTGTAGAATGTATACCTATTTGACTTACATTAATATTCAAAACAAATAAAAATCTCATTTTACAGCAAACTTTTGATAAAAACTCACTTGTCTACAGATGACTCTGTTGCTGAAGAGGTGCTTGAAACAGGCATCTTTACTTCACAGTTTTTATAAAAATCATGATTAGCCTGCAATGTGCTCAGATCATGCACCTGAGCAGCTTTTCCATGTCTTTTATAGGCATGTTCTTTTTTGGTTTCTAACGCAGGTTTCTCCTGTCCACCAGCTGCACTTGCTGAAGAAGGTTCATCAATGGAAATACATTTTTCCTTTTCATGTCTAGTCAAATTTATCACTGCAGTCTCTTTCTTCTGTCTCTCTTCTCCACTAGCCAAAGAGCCAGTGGACTTACTTGTCTTCCATGGAAACATACCCTGGCTTTGAAATACATAAAGTATATTCATGTGAATTAATAAGTATATTTTTGCAAATGGTACAATATTCTGACACAAAATATCTCTTGGTTATCCCGAATGTAAAGTTAATGGATCATTTTCCAGCATACAAAGCAAAAACAGTTAAACAGAAAATGCGGGTACAAAGATGTAATAGATCATCTAGCCAGTACAAGATTCTTAGCTAGTGTTTGTTCACTGACAGGATTCTAAAAATTGTCTTTTTATGGACTACCGCTCAACATGAAGTTCTTCTCAGACACCTGCCCTTCCAAATACCAAGTAGCCTCTGAAAGCCCATTAGGATTAACCAAGAGACGTACTCAAGTTTAAGAATCACTATTCCATTTCTTTATCCATTCCAGTTTTAAGTTAATCCTGAAAAGGAATTCTAAAAGCTTTATGAGATCACAGTAAAATATATTTATACCAAATAAAAAACAAAACCTGAAATCACCTCTGCTATTGTAAAATGTATTTATCATAGACATGACTGCACCTTTTTCCTGACATTTCTGTCCTTATTTCCTGTACACTTTTCCCTGCATTACACATTGCACCTCTCTCATTGCTTCCTTTATCTTTGTGCCTTTTCACATTTAGCAGTTTCTCAATTGATAAATCCTAGTCCAACTCCTACAGGACATTTCTGAAAATTTAGATATTCTGCTAAATTTGATAAGCAGACACCATTTTATTCTAAGTATTTACCTCTCCATAGCTTCAGGTTGTGAACTCTGAGGGCATGAAGTCTACAGCTATTAACCATAGTTTGTGAAAAACTAATCTGCTTTAAAAATTTAACATTTCAGAAACCAGAATTTCCATGGCTTCCACTGTCTTTTTTGTTCTCCCAATTTTTTTTAAAAAAAAGTGTCTCAAAAGCTATGTGAAGTCCCCAAACAGGGCAAATTGAATATAGACAGTGAAATTGACTACAGGCAGTCCCCCGGTTACGCACAAGATAGGGATTATAGGTTTGTTCTTAAGTTGAATTTGTATGCAAGTCAGAACTGGCTCCAGATTCAGCTGCTGCCACTGAAACTGACCAGGGGCTGACTACAGGAAGCTGGAGGCAGAGTTGCTCTGCCCCCAGCTTCCTGGAATCAGCCTGATCAGTTTCAACAGCTGCTGAATCTGGAGCCTGGGACAGAACAGCTGGGGCACTGCCCAGTAGGTTCCCACAGGACCAACCCAGCAGCACCCCAGCTGCTCTACCCCAGCATCCCGCAACAAAAGCCTGGTCTGCTGCGGGGGGGGGGGCGCACTAGCTGCGCCCCCTCCCCAGCACACCAGGGAGACCTGAGCAAAGCTGCACAGGCAGAGGGACCCCACCACCCGTGTGGCTTTGCTCCCAGGCAAATGAGCAAAGCCGCCCAGGTGGCAGCTTTGCTCAGGTGTCCCTGGTCTGCTGGGGGGGGGGGGGGCGACTATTTCGGTTATTGTAATCTTCAGAATAACTTGCACCTTGCAATAGCAGTAGGTAAAATATGTACAGGCAAAAGCGTCTCCACTAAAAATGAGAGGGGGGTGTAGTTACTCCTCTGACAACCCTAAAACATCCTTCTCTTGTTGTCATGGTGCCCTCCACACACTTATCCACGGGTCGGATGCCTGAGCCTTACTGAGCAACTCAGCAGCCTGACCGCTCTGCGCTTAACTTGCACCTTGCAATAGCAGTAGGTAAAATATGTACAGGCAAAAGCGTCTCCACTAAAAATGAGAGGGGGGTGTAGTTACTCCTCTGACAACCCTAAAACATCCTTCTCTTGTTGTCATGGTGCCCTCCACACACTTATCCACGGGTCGGATGCCTGAGCCTTACTGAGCAACTCAGCAGCCTGACCGCTCTGCGCTTCAATCACTAGACTGAGCTGGAGCGAGCGCAGCGCGCGCTGAGGTGCCAGCCTGCCCGTAACCAGCAGCGGCCGGAATCAGCAGGCGAGCGCCCGGATGCGCGGGGAGCTCGCGGGACGCGCTAAGCTGCCGCCTGGAGACCCCGGCCC